GGGGGGGGGTGGGGGGGGGGCGAAAAGAACGCACGCTGCTGTGGGAAGGATCGACAAGGCTAGTGCCAACGTATCTGGTCCTCGAGGCTAAATCCGAAGAACGGCATTCGGGGGATCAGAGGGCGCATGCTGTCCATGGAGATCTGGGCATTAGCAATTCAGATCGATGATCCACGCAATCCCGCGGGCCGGGGACGGGGACAACGGGGGGGGGGGGGGGGCACAAGAAGGGCCGCGCGTGGCTTGGATGCTGCTTATATGTGTGTGGGGGCTCTTGGTCAGCCTGTACTGGGCACGGGTGGCTGCCCGGCAACATGCCCCTTTTTGCCCAGGAAGCGGCGCAAACAGGGGAAGAGATATGCCCCCTCATGCGGGGGCGGGTGAGGGGGGGGGGGGACGCCACGAGACCCAGGCTGGTCCAGGGCATTTCCGGAGATCCCTCCGCCCTTTTCTCCTTCTCGGGGATGGATCCCCCGGCCGGATGCTGAAGAGGCACTCGAAGAAGAGGCCCGAGGCGCACCCGCACCCCCGCCCCCTCCACCCACCCCCAACCAGCTTTCCTCCTGTCTGCTCCCTGCCATACATTTCCTCCCTCCCCCCTCCCTCCTCGTATTACCTCCTCTCCTCCCTCGCCGCCAGTTCACGTACCTCCCCACCGACTCGACGATCACTCGCTCCATTCCCTCCTCGCTCCCCCTCTGTCTGCGCTGCGCTGCGCTGCGCTGCGCTGCACTGCGCTGAACTGACCGAATGATGCTTCCTCCACCCGCCCCTGCCTCATGAAGCCCCTGCCCCTCGCTAAATGTCCCATCGCAAGCTCGCCCAGCAGTCCGGTCTCGGCCGCGCCCTGCGCCGTGACCGCGGTCTGAACCGTCGCCAGGTCAATGGCGACCCGTATCTCCACAGCACCGAGATGGATGATGGCCCGAACTGGATGAAGATGCAGTCGATTACCGACCGCGGTGTATGTGCAAACCCCCCATTGCCCGCCTGCCTCCCCGCTCTCCTTCACACTTCCCTCTGGCTCCACCTCTCCGGTCTTTCTGCTCTCTGACACACACCGACGCACACATACGCGCACGCTCATGCGTCCAGGATCTCGAGGAGTTCCTGAACGTAGCTCAGCTGGCCGACAAGGAGTTCACCGCCGAACGCCGGAACATCACCGTCATCATGGGCGACCACCGGAACATGCTGGAGTCCAACCTTGATGACGAGGCCCTGACCCATGAGCTGGTCATCCGAAGCAAGGATGAGCTGAGTGTTCCCCGGCGCCCGGCCTGGTCTCGGACCATGACTCGTGAGGAGCTCGACAAGATGGAGCGCGACGCCTTCCTCGAGTGGCGCCGCTCCCTGGCCAGGTGCGTGGCGTCTGTCCCCCTCCGGCCTCCTGGTTCCCGGTGTTTCCCTTCGCCCACTCACCACCTTCCCCCCTTTGCCCTGTGTTTCCCCCGACCGCCAACACAGCATCCAGGACACGGAGAAGATCCACATGACGCCCTTCGAGCGTAACATCGAGGTTTGGCGCCAGCTGTGGCGCGTGGTTGATCGTTCGTGCGTGCCCTTCGCCCTCGCCGATTTCCCCCCTCCGCCGCCCTCTGTGCCCTCCGTTCTTGCGGGCGTGTTCCACTGACCTGCCTGCCTCCCTCCCTCCCTTGGCCGGCCGATCCCCCCCAGTCACGTTCTTGTTCAGATCGTGGACGCTCGTAACCCGGAGCTCTTCCGCTGCCCGGACCTGGAGCGCTATGTCCTGGAGGTTGGCGCCTCCAAGAAAAACCTTCTGCTGGTCAACAAGTCGGATCTCCTGACCCCCGAGCAGCGGTACGCCCTGGCCCCGATCCCCCCCCCCCCCTCTGATCTTTCGGTGCCCCTCTCCCGCTTTCGGCCCTTGAGGCTAACCCACTCGCTCTCCTCCCCCCCCCCCCCCCCCCCCCCCCCCCCCCCCCCCCCCCCCTCCTCCCCCCCCCCCCCCCCCCCCCCCCCCCCCCCTGGCCAGGGCAGCCCCCCCCCCTTGCCCCCTCCCCTTTCCGAGGCCCCCCCCCCCCCCCCCCCCCCCCCCCTCCCTTCGGCCCTCGCCCTCCCTCTCTTTCCTTCTCGCTCTCGCCTCCTGTAGCTACGCCTGGGCCGAGTACCTGGACAGCAAGGGCATCGAATTCGTCTTCTGGAGTGCCACTGAGGCCCAGCTTTTGATCGATGCCGAGCTCGAGGCTCTGGAGCAGGCTGGCGAGGCGGACCAGCACCATGACCGGCCGACCGTGGTCGCTCCCTCGGCGGCCGACACCGCGGCCGTGACGCAGACCCCGATCGACCCTGATACCCTGCTGAAGGAGGCCTTCGGCAAGCCGACCAACCCGGACTTGGCCTATCGGTCGCGAATTGTCTCGCGTAACGAACTTTTCGCCATGTTCCATGAGCTGGGCTCGGATGTCCTGACCTCCGGGGCCCTCGGTCCCGATGGCCGGAAGCAGCAGCTGGTTGTCGGCCTGGTTGGCTATCCCAACGTCGGTAAGTCCAGTACGACCAACGTCCTGTGCGGCAAGAAGCGCGTGGCCGTGGCCGCCACCCCTGGTAAGACCAAGCACTTCCAGGTATGTCTTCAATGAGTGCCGGCCTCCGGCCGAGCCTTTGGCACATTTTCCCTTTCCCCCTTGGCCTCGCGCTGTTGCTGCACCCGGCTAATCGTCGCCCTCCCTTCTCCTGGCGGCTGCTTCGCCCACGGCAGACCATCATCCTGAGCCCCGATCTGATGATCTGTGATTGCCCGGGTCTGGTGTTCCCCTCGTTTGCGGCCCTCCGTGAGGACCTCGTGTGCAACGGCATCCTGCCGATTGACCAGCTTCGCGAGGCCATTTCCCCGACCCAGCTCGTCTGCCAGCGTATCCCTCGGCTGTTGATTGAGTCCATTTATGGCATTGTCCTGCCGCAGCCGGCCCTTGGCGAGCCGGCCGACCGGGCGCCGACGGCCACCGAGCTGCTTGGAGCCTTCGCCATTGCTCGTGGCTTCATGCGCAAGGGCCATGGTAATGCCGACGAGATGCGCGCCGCGCGTGTCATCCTCAAGGATTATGTGGCTGTACGTGCTGCCTTGTCCACTCCTCCCGCCTCCCTCCTCTCGCTGTCTTCCCTTCATGCTCTCTCTCGCTCTCTCTCTCGCTCTCTCTCTTCCTCGAGAAAGAGAGAGAGCGAGAGGGAGCGAGAGAGAAAAAAAACTCGCCCCCAACAACATCCCACTCACTTACACCTGCATCTCCCCCTTCCCCTCCCCTCCCACCTTCTCATGTGTATCTAGGGCAAGCTCCTGTATGCTCATCCCCCGCCCACCATTGAGGGCAAGCTCTTCAACACTGCCTCGCACCTGGCCACCATCCAGGACCTTCAGGAGCGCAAGGCGCATCTCTTCCGTCACGAGACCAAGGTTTCTTCAGATGGCCAGCAGACTGACGTCCTGGTCCGCCGGTCGGCCCGCCAGCAGGTACGTCTCGTGGCTTTCTCTCATTCCGGGAACTGGGGGCCGAGATTGGGTGTTCTTCGTTTGCCTTCCCCTTTTCCTTGGTGGTCCTTTTTACTAACCTGGCCTCCCCGGCTCCGTGATGCTCCGGTGGGGTTTTTTTTTTCTTCATCCTCTGCATTCAGCCTCAGAACAGCGTTCAGGCTGAGATCGACCGCGACTTCTTCGCCCAGTCCAATGTGGGCGTCGGCTATAAGAACAAGAACCTTTCTTCCATCAACAAGGGTGTACGTCAAGTTGCCGTCTGCCTGCCTCCTGCCTTCCTCTGCTCTGCCCTGTGCCGATCTGCTGCTGACCTCCCCCGAACCAACCACCAGCACCTCGAGGCCCAGGAGCCGGGGCTTCCCGGGAAGAAGGGCCACAAGTCCAAGAAGGTAAAGGCTCGCAACCTGTACAAGGCCACCAACTAGCCAGGGTGCAGACTGTCCCCTCCCCTCCCCCCTGCCCAGTCGGCGGCGGGGCCTCTCCCTTCCGAATGCGTCTGTCCATGATTCATCCTCTCCTGGCGATGCTATCACACCTGCAGCCTTGCACACGTAGGTGCGTGTGCACGCGCGCGGTGCTCGTACCCGCCCTGATGGAGGATCGCGGCGCGGAGTGCCGCGCATCCTGTCCTTGTCTCGTTTTGCAACACACAGCATGTTGGCCCCATCTCCTCCCCCCCCCCCCCCTCCCTACCCCCATATCTTCTCCCTTCTGCCCGCTCCCTGGCCGCCAGGCACACCCATCGACTGCCGCGCCTGGCACGCTTGTGCATTCTGGATCCTGGGCATCCAAATGTAGATTAAACGCAATATGCTGTCTCCCTGTTGTCCGGTGAAAGTGTGGCCCATGTGTGTGCTGAGGGTGCAAGAGATACTTGTATTTCGTGTTTGATGAGTGTTTCGGCCCACCCTTGACTGGAAGGGGAGAGGTGGAGGGG